TGGTGATGAGAGACCTATTGCCTACATGTCTAAAAAGCTGAATTCCGCACAGCGGAATTACAGTGTCACCGAAAGGGAGTGCTTGGCGGCAGTAGAGGCGATACGGAAATTCCGATGTTATATAGAACTGCAAGAGTTCGAAATAATTACGGACCATTCTAGCTTGGTATGGCTGATGAAGCAGCAGGACTTGACCGGCCGTCTTGCAAGATGGGTGTTTAAGTTACAGGGTTTCAAATTTACATTTAGCCATAGGAAAGGAAAAGACAACGTCGTCCCTGACGCATTGTCAAGAATTCACTGTAATGATATTTCAGCCATAGAGCTTGCAGAACCCGAAGTAGATCTGAACTCCCCTCACTTTTTCGACCCAGACTACAAATCTTTAAAAGACAAAATATTAGGCAACGAATCTAAATTTCCCGACATGAAGATAATAGATAAATATGTATATATTAGAACTGACCATTACACAGGGGATTGTGAACAGGAGGCTAGAGCGTGGAAACTGTGGATTCCACAGCAACTTCGCAGAAACATCATCTTAAGATTTCACGATTCAGCTGTCGCTTGTCATGGCGGAATGTTCAAAACTCTTGAACTCATACGAAGAAACTTCTTTTGGCCGAATATGGTGAAAGAGATAAGAGAATACGTAAGGTCTTGTGATGTATGCAAATGTACAAAGGCACCGAATCAAAATTTGAGACCTGAAATGGGTAAAGAATCAATATCTTATCGTCCATTTCAGAGAATATATATTGACATATTGGGTCCGTATCCACGGAGCAAAAACGGCAATATTGGTCTATTAATTGTTTTAGATCACATGTCAAAGTTTCATTGGCTTTGCCCCCTCAAAAAGTTCACGACCTCTGTCATACAAGATTATCTGTTAAAACAAATTTTTCACGTTTATGGGGTGCCTGAAACTTTGATAACTGATAATGGCTCCCAATTCAAATCTAATGAGTTTAACGCTTTTTTAACTTCATATGGAGTAAACCATATCTATACAGCCATATATTCGCCTCAGTCGAATGCTTCTGAGCGCGTTAACCGCTCCATAATTGCTGGAATTCGATCCTTTTTAAAGAAAGATCATCGGTTATGGGACGAAAATCTAAGTCTTATCAGCTGTGCATTACGAAATTCGGTGCATCAAGCTACAAAATATTCCCCCTACCATGCTCTTTTTGGATTCAACATGGTAACCCATGGCACATCATATCAACTTCTTCGGAAATTAGACTTGTTGGATGAACCTTCTGCAATTTTGTCGCGAGACGATAACTTGGCACTGCTACGCAACAATATCCGTAAACATATTACTGAAGCCTACAAAAGAAATCAAGCCCAATATAATCTACGAGCACGACCAATATCATTTGCACTTGGCCAGGAGGTTTATCGCAGAAACTTCGCACAAAGTTCTGCAGAAAAGGCATTCAATGCAAAGTTGTCACCCCTCTTTCTTAAATCAATAGTAAAGGAAAAAGTTGGTCAAAACTATTACATTTTGACGGATATGGACGGAAGAACTGTTGGTACGTACCACGCAAAGGATATTCGTCCTTAAACTAAGATTATGATCTCCAATTAATATTGTATCCTAAAAGGACAATATTACTTGGTTTGTAATATATGCTTCGAAAAAAAAAGACCAGAAAACAAACCATTCATTTCCGACCAAAAACCTAAGTGGCAACACTAAAAATTGTTTGCGTACATCTTTTAGTCGATACATCAAACAGGAGATAATTGACGATTACGCTTTATCCCCTTTGATTTTTCGTAATCAATTTTTAGTACAGAGCTCCGTCGGACAAAAGAGAACTTTCAACTTCCCTTTTCAATTTTGCCTTCGAGAAAGTAAAGACCGCTAATTAAGTAAATCTTCATAAAAGACAGAAAAACCTAAAAAAATTATAATCCAAACTTATTTCGAGAATCTGTGCAGATACTGAGTGAAAAAATAAATTTTTATTGCATCTTGAAATACTGCTAAGGTAATGGAAATGTTATTGTGCCCAAAATATATATATATATATATATTTTTACCAAATACCGTGTTTTCACAGAGAAATATCGGATAAATTCCCAGAAGAATTCAGTGAAATACCTTAAGATTTCATAAATTGCAACTTGAAAGAAAAAAATACTCCCCGTCATATGCCCACACGTGGGTTGTTTCTAAGGCATCGGTGTTTTTTCTACGCCCTGGTCGACATGTACGGAGACGGCTCAACCTCTTAGCTCATGTGTTTTACTACGTGCTTCGATCAATCAGCGTTAAATCTTGAGAAAATCAGCACCACTTACCCGTGCCTAGAACACAAAACGCGATTCTAAAGCCACGCAGACGAAATCGAGGGTATCACACCCGCTAATAAAAGGGTTACAAATCGCCCAATTGGACCACATTTTATGCACCAGTTCAACAAATTCCCGATACCATACCATCTAGTTAAGTTGCAAGTAATAAAACTATCGCACCTGGATATTCCCACATCCACAACAATACTGAATACCTGCCTAGCTGAGGACTGTAGCCCAAGAAACACCTGAAAGGAAACAAAGCACTATCTAACTAATCCCTAAATTGTGAGCAATCAACAGATACCTATTACAATTCAAACAAAAAAAAAATTAAGAGGATTCAAGTTTCAATTAAAATTCGTTAAAGAAGAAAAAAGAAACAAAAATTAGATAAGTTAGTGTAATAATTAATAATTTCAAATTTCCATCATATTTTACTATTGCTATTTCATTGCATAATCATTTAATTAAAATTTGTAGACAAAATTAAGATTCACCCTTTAGTGCACCCACGCACGCACATAATAATTAGGAATGAAGTAAAGCAAAAGAATTTATGAATGAAGCAAAGTATAATTACTATCAAACGCATCACCCATCATCATTATCATCGTAAAATAAATTATCATCAAAAATAGCGATCACAACAAAAACGACGAACTTCTTCGAGGCCTCCAACAAGTTCAACGTAAAACCAGTTTGGTGAGTACTCATATCAATTGAGAGTGATTTTGATATTTGCATATTTACATTTTACAAGTAATTATAATTTGAATCAATTTCTTTTTTTTTTTTTTTTGCTTTTGTGTTTTTGTTCTTCCATTCATATTTATTTATTACCTTATTAATACATTAGGGTGTCTCTTAATATTATTTCAAAATTAAGCTATATCTAATTCTTTAACTTGTATCAAATTTTATTTACCTAATATGTTTTTCTAAAGTATTTTACATTTTTATGCATTAATCCAACTATTTGCAATTTATTCGTACATAGATAAATAAGTATGTTTTTGCTAAATATGCCCTGAATTGAAATTATCGGTGTGTATTAAAATGAATTACTAAGAACTTTAAAGTGTTTTCTTGAAGTGGTAAGGCAAAACTAGGGTATTGAAAGATGGGGTCCTGGAATAAATTCCGCCTATCAGGACTATGGTTAGGGAGGGTAAAGAGGCCAATATCGCACATCACCTGATATATTCTTTAATGGGGAATTTTGAATATTTATGTACCAACAATAGTTATTTCAATTGTGGGGTATCAGTTTTTTCATTAGTGTTTATTTTCCTGTCAGTAACATTCAAAAGGGAGTCTATAATAATTTTCTGTAGACATGTAGTTTTGTTATATGTGGACCCGAACCCCCCACCCGGCTGAAGTTAGCTAACAATGGCTCCCGCAGTCCTTCATAAACAAAGCAAAAGAGAATTAAAATCTTTCTCCTAGCAATTAGAATATAGTTATCCTCGTCATCTGGAATTCATTAAATGTTGATATTGCTAATAAAATAAACTTACATTACATAATGGATACTACAGTCTGTGACAGATACTTGTCAATGCAGGTCCAGGTCTTCGTATAGGCCCCATATATCAGTACCTCCCTATATTCGGTATTTTGACGAGTTTAGGTACAATACCCACCGAAATTGTTTAAGATGTCGTATTTGAAGTTCGTAATGGATGCTACAGCCTATGACAGAATATTGTCTATGCTGGTCCAGGTCTTCGCACAGCTCCGATATAACGGTACCTCCCTATATACTATATTTTGATTATTTTAGCTAAATTATTCACCGTTTATTTCAAGTTTCGAATTTGAATATGGTAATGACTTATGACAAACAATGCTTATGTAGGTCCACGTCGTATAGACCCCAATATAACGGCTATATTCTGTTTTTTTTTTTTTAAATTTTAACAGAATTTTTTAAGGATTTTATTTTTTGAAAATTTCGAAATTCGTTCCAAATGGTGGATGGTATTCAAAGTTCGGCCCGGCCGAACTTACTGCTTTTTAACTTGTTAACTACCTTGAATTATTCGCTCATATTATTAGAACTTTATTAGACTATACATATAAATAAATATTTCAAATACTAAGGTTCGCTCGATTTTTAGGGGTTACAGGTAATGAATTAATTATTAATTTTCGAGGTCGGATGTTATCAATATTATGTTCCTTAGTTCGAGCAATCCTCAGATCTGAAGGAAGCGAGCGAGAAGAATAATTCATATATTTGCTGCATGTTTGTAGTCTACTTCACCGTTGAAATTCCGCAAAATGTTATTCGATGACCATATAAAATGGTAGACGACTGACCTGTTCTAAACTTTTGTTCTTTAAGTTTGAACTGTATAGCGACTGCAAAATCTGGGGAAAAATCAGTTTTATTGTTCATCTTAGTCCCTAAATATTTTGTCATGATCTCCAAAAACAGGTGACTTCTATTATAGCCAAAACCCTAACTATATAGAAAATATCGTTCCGAACTGGTCATAATTGTGACCTGTGGTGTGATTAGAAATTAACATGGAACGACGGACACACATGGTTAAATCGACTCAGCTGAGTCGATGACCAACATTTCGAGGGGGTATAAACTTATAATACCCCCAACAAATAGTGTTGTAGTCTAAAAATACCATAATACTAACAGAATTTTTTATTTAACTTACTGGGTATTCGTCATAGTTCGATTCCAATTGGTCGTTAACACTAAATATTTCTTCCGGCTGGCTGAGGGAACCACCATTTCCGGTGGCCGAGGTTAAGGTGCGTTTGTCGGCTGGCAAAGATTCACCCGTCTTTGGGACAAACAAATCACTGGCATCGTCGGTGGGCAAACGTTGTTTTTGATAATTCCAACGAGGTTCGTGAGGATTGCAAGCATTCGATTGGATTTGTTGCAAAATAATTATCAACAGCAGATATATAGTCCAATAGTGTGAAAACGTATTCCGTGTTGATGCCGATACCAGATACGATCTGTGGTCCATTTTATCTATTTGGCAAGTTAAATGTGAGCTTAGCGGGCTTTCGAATCGATGCTGGAATTTCGACAACTGAATTGGTAACAGTAGACCGATGGTCCTTTTATAGCTTGAATATGTAACAGTCGTTACCAGTAATGTCTGGCATTTTCGACTGATGACTTTCAATTATTTTTCCATGTTTCAAGTCCATAAATCCGTCATTCATGCATGTCCTTATGTTGCTGTTGTTGTCGTTGTTCTCATAGCCGCGCAGTTAGTGACTTTACAAAGAAATGCTTTCTTCATTACTTTGCCGGATTTGTGGGTTCGATGTCGTTATTGAAGGAATCGTCTGTTGATATATTGGCAATTTTTACGGCTGCAAGCAACAGAGCTACATGTGTTCACCATGTGTCCTGCAATGTATCCAGGAATCCTTCAGTAATGATGTTCTTGTAATTATTGGCCAAGACGACATACATACCGAAGCACTTAAGCTAGCCATCGTACCACCACAGTGACACGACACTCAACTGGTGGCTATGTCAGATTAAGTAACACCTTTCTCATCACAGCCAAGATACGACGTTGAGTTTGTGTATGTGTGTGTGGGTGTGGGTGTATGTCATTTGGTCTCGGAAACGCCTAGAGATTTGTGGGTAAGGTTAAAGCACTCAATCGCATAACAAGCACAGCAATGAAACTGATTCTCGGCATTTTGCCAATTTACATTTTAATCTGGATTTTAATGAAGATAATATTGAGCAATGTCGGATTATTTTCATTAACATGTCACAAAGCTTTGCGGTAAAAATAAAATTCTATTTTACTTGTCTCGTTTTCTTGCTGAGACTGTTACATTTCCCAGTAGTGCAGATTATCTGTGAGTTAGGCAATTAAAACTAAAAGGTAGGGCGTTTTTTATTCTTTTGCTCTTGGGTATGTGTTGCGTATGATTAACATTGCGAATATGCAACTGCATACGTCATTGCAACTGACGGAGTATGCAAACAACATATACAAAATAAGCAGATAAACATTTTGTATTGGACAACACTATTGCAACTGGAATTTGATCTTAAAGCAATCAAATATAATTTCAATAATACTCTTAATAGGATACAAGTTCCCATAACGTTATAATTACAGGGTCCGCCAAATGATGTTTTTTTGAAAATGCGATAAAAAAGAAAAACCACTGAATATTTTCTTAAAAAACTTTTTTATTTAAAGCTGTGCAATTTATGATAGAATAATTACAAAGTAGGGCCGAATGACTAAATTTAAAAAACACAACCCTGAAGCTTATCTTGCAATTTCAAATTTAACAATAAAAATGCAACAATCAGTTTTTATACCGTCCGCTATTCTATGGAGAGTAAATTCTCATGTTAGACCATACAAAGTATATATTCTGGATCAGCGTACAATTCTAAGTCGATAAAGTGAAATCCGTTGATCTGTCTGTTGTAATAATATTTCGAACGAATTGATATAGAATTAATTGAAAATTTGCACACATATGTAGTTGGCTTAAATTCGTAAATGGGCCATGGCGATCCACGTTTTCGTATAGCCCCCATATAACGGTACCTCCAAATATTGGGTATTTTAATGATTTCAGCGACATTGTCCACAGGAATTGAATTGAAAACATTTGCTTTCCCAAAAGTTGTAATTGGTCTATTCCAGAACCTGAAAAAATCTACTAGTTTTGCAATTTTCTCCGATATCATAAAGGCAAAATCGATTATCGCAGTAAAAACTTTTACATTCTTGACAAAAGTAAAAGTTTTTACTACGATAACCGGTTTTCCCTTTATGATATCGGAGAAAAATCCAAAACTAGTAGATTCTTGCAGATACTGAAAAAAAGCAAATAGGGTAAGTGTACCAGTAGTCGGCACTTTTAGGCTCTTCAATATTTCAATCTTTCGACATTCTGAGTGAAATCTTTCAATTGCAGAAAAATAAAGTTGTTCAGATTCCATATTTTGTTAAGTTTTCGAAATAATAAACAACATTTGAATTTGTTTTTATTAAATTGGCAAAATTTGCAATTTTACCAAAATAGTAGTTTTTTGCCAGTAGTCGGCACCATTTTCCAATGCTCGGCATGTCTATTTGCCAGTAGTCGGCATATGCTATTTCATTAAAAAATATTATTTTGTATATTTTTTTTTATTTCAAATAGTATAAAACGATGCTGTAATACTAATTCACAGTTTAATTAACTAATTTCGTTTTTAAATAGTGTTTTATTTAATTATCATTCTACACCAAATATAGGTAGAAAATCAAGAATAGTATGGATTTTCAATTAAAATAAAAATGAGATTTAATTAAGAAAGTACCTTTCTTATATTTGGAATTTGTGAATTGATCTTTTTCCTAAAACGTCAATTAGCTGATTTAAAAAAACATTCTTAACTCAGAAAAGTTGGTCAAAAAGCACAAATAAAAGCAACTGCCGACTCAAAACTATTTTTTTATTTGAGTAGTTTTTGGATAATTTTTTAATACTTTTCTCAAGTTTTGGTGAAATAGGTCAAAAATTATATTTTTCTAGTAATCGGCACCCCCTGCCGACTACTGGTAAATCTCTTTTTTTCTGTTCCTAATGTTGGCATTAAATAATATAATAAGAGAAAAATGCTTGATTATGTATGTTTTTTAAGTTATAAAATGATCTTTAGTTATTTAAGTTTAAATTTCAAAACTGCCGACTACTGGGACATGCCGAACTTAGGCGCACTTACCCTATGAATTTAAATTTCAGCAAATTTAATATTTTTTAATTATTTTCTTTATTATTCAAAACAATACATACACATGCAAAAATTTTATACATGTTATGTCAATATAAGACTGCCAAAAGAAAAACTTGAATTCAGGCGATTGATATGTCCTACCTTGTCTTCACAGGGTAAGATGAAAAAAACTGCAACCAATTTCAGACTGATGTCATTTCTAAGCCACTCGTCCGACAGCTATTAAAATTATTCCAGTGGCATTTTGGTGAGAATTTTCCCGAAAAAAAAAGTTATTCGTGATGGAATTCAAGCGTGATAGTGTGATTCCTTTATATTTGGCTGGAAAACCACAAGTGGCTATCGTTAGAGCACTCCAGCATTTAAATGTGAATATATCGTTTGTGTCTCGTACCATCGCTCGTTACCGTGAAACTGGTAGCGTAGCAACATCAGCAGAAATGGTTCGAAAAATAAAAAAACGACTTGATCGAAAACCGCGTCGCAGTGGCCGAAAAATGGATCGCGAGCTGAACATATCGGAATATTCCATTCGGCAAATATTGAAAAATGAGCTCAGGGTAAAGTCCTTGAAATTCCAAAAAGTGCAGGAACTTACACCGCAACAGAAAGAAAATAAAGTCAAATAAGCTAAAGAGTTGCTTCGCTTGGCCGTAAGTGCTGAACTGCCGAATTTGCTTTTCTCCGATGAGAAAACATTCGTTGTCCAACAGTTTGTAAACAAACAAAATGATCGTATTTACTTGTCAAAGAGGTCAGCTGAAAATGTGCACCTTCGGTTGGCCACCAGAACTCAAGCGTTGGCCATCAGGATAAAAGAGGTTCTTCGCTTCATTTTCAGCGCACAATGGCCACCAAAATCACCGGATACCAATCCGTTGGACTATTGTGTCTGGAGTATTTTGGTCCCATTTTAAAAAATACCAAAGTGTCGATCACCTCAGGCAAGCGCTTCGACGGGAATGGGTGAAAATACCGCAGAGCAACGTTCGGGCAGCGTTTGACGGTTTCATAGGCCGTTTGAAGACCATAATTCGTGCCAAAGTTGACAAATTCGAACAAATCTAAACTTATTCCAAAATTTGATGATATGTCCGACATTTTTTGCCTTCACTCAATAAAATTAAAAAAATGTAGAAATTATGACGCTTAACTTTGTTGCAGTTTTTTTTTTATCTCACGATTAATTTCTCAACCGTATTTGAAATAATTTCAAATAATTGTATTTTTTATTCAAAACAATACACACAGAAACCAAAGTGTGTATATATTTTTGGACAGAATAAGAACACCAAATATATTGTATTTAGGGGGTAGCTTTGTTCTACCTTCTGTTATTGTGCCATGATTGTACCATGGTACAACCCTTCCGATTAATAATGGAAAAAGAAAGAATTAAAATGACTGCTTGGTTGACAATGCAGTAGCCCCCACGATTGGTCCCGTTTTAATGCATAAGCATAAATAATAGTCAATCGGTGTCAAATCGCAGCTCCGATGTGGCTAGCCGACATCAGGCCTGCTGCTGATAATGAGATCTTTAAAAACAGAGCTCAGAACATTGAGTGTCGTTTTGGCTGTGTGACACGTAGCGCCATCTGTTGAATGCAAATGTTGGCAATATCCTCCTTTTAAATTTTTGTAAAATGAATTCGATCTAAATGGCCCAATAAAATAACATTCACTCCACGTTTTGGTTTCCCTTCTTCCAAAATCCGTACGCAATTTTCCGCACACATTCTGCAACATTACCTTTGTTTTGCAATATTTTCCAGCATTGTGCAAGCGTATACACAATCATATTCGTCCAGCGGAAGGATAAAACTAATTATCTTTCAAATAAGACATTAGCTAAGTGTTACCAGTTCTGGTGCACTATGATTCCTAGCATTAAAATAACCTTTGAACCTTTGTTTCTAACACAATTGGTTACTTCGTACCAAAAACTGCGCCTCGAAACCTCTTTTTATCCTCCAGAGAGTATATGGTATTTGTTAGTCATAATGGGTTCTAGCTCCGGAACATGGTATATATAGGTCCACGTTTTGGTATAGCCCCATATAACGGTACCTCCCGATATTTGGTATTTTGATGCCACATTTTTCCACGGATTTGTCCAAAAATTGGTGTTTATAGTTCGTAATGAGTTCTAGCTCCTGTGGCGGAACATATAATGTATAGGTTCACGTTTTCGTATAGCCCTCACATGATTGTATCTCCGGATATTCAGTATTTTGATGATTTTTGCAACATATTCCCACGGATTTGTTTAAAAATTGGTATTTGTAGTTCATAATGGGTTCTAGCTCCAGCGGCAGAACATTGAAAATTTAGGTTCTCCTTTTCCTATAGCGCACATATAACGATACCCACCGATACTCGAAATTTTGATAATCCTAGTCACATTTATACAGGAAATTGTTTCAAATTTAAGAAGATTTGGTAGATAACAATCCTTGAAGTATAAAATTCTCTATATATGTAGGTTCCCGTTTTGGTATGGCCACCATTTAGCGCCCTCGCCCACTTTATGTTTCTTTGAAAAGCTTAACAGCATTATCCAAACGGCCTTAATGGTATTTGTATTTTAAAGTGGAATTCAGATACTTTTATATAAAAATGTTTTCTTTGCCCAATGGTGGAGGGTATTAAGAGTTTTTTTACTTGTTATTTTCTATAATTGTATCTTTTATATTTACATGCCTCTATCAAAGCTGTTATTCAAAATAGTATAGTCGTAAACAAGTTCCTCAGAATGCATTTTGTCTAGTCTTTACCATTTTAGGTCTTTGCTTTGTTCTTTTACGAAGAAATCTACCGATAACTCAAGCCAGTCAAAAAAACGTTCGTGTACTCTCATCCTAAGGCCTTATATCAGCTCCTGTGTTACCTTATTATATTGGACTTGGTTCCCAACAACTATCCCGTTACTTTTATGCTACCAAGATCTTTTATCGAGCTCTTTTTCACCAAAAATAACCTTTTTGAATTAAAATGCAGGACTATTATTGTCTGAACAGATATGTTTTTATTTAGCACTTGCTGGTCTTTCTGTGCCACCTGAGAAATATACTTTATCCTGGACCACATCCTCCTTCAGATTTGCCCAAATTTTCCTCCAGGCGGAGTCTTTAATATAATCATACCTTTTTTATATCCCATTATCTCTTCTTGGCCAAAGTGCAGCATCTTAGGACTAAACACTAAAGCACCTCAAATCGTAAAGTTTTTTTCATACCCTTTTTTTGATTCGGATTTCGGTTTGATTTAGTAATCAGTTAAAATACTCGTACCACATTGTTTATCTCTTTCTGGAAATGCAACATTCTTGTTCTAGCCGTGTTTTTCGAATCCACACGAACTTCTAGTTATAAATCGACATAATTACTGACTTGTACAAATGTATTATGTATGAAGTTGGTGTTCGTTGACCTACTACAACAATTACACCCTTACATAATTTATTCATTAGACATACATATGTATGATGTTGTGCCAGAATTTACTTTTGATGTTAATTACAAAATATGTATTTTTTGTAGCAAATTCCCCGTCCCTTTAAATATGCCTTTGAGTTTGCAACGAAAATATACATCTTTGTTATATATCATCTTTGGGAACATAAACTCTTTGAAGAGCCTATATTTTGACAAAAAAATATGTTATTATGGATTTATTTTTTTTAATCAACTAGTTATAGACAATTTAGTGTCGATATAAGGAACAGCATTTGCGATATGTGTATTTAGGCAGCAATGTTGTGAACATTTTCGCAAAAATTCTAGTGATGGTTTATATACAAAATTTTAGCGATATTATCCCACATTATTAGGATTTATTCAACCAGATTTTACAGAAATAGATATTCTAGCGGTCTAACTTATTTTAAATAAGGAAAGACAAAAGTCGGGCGGTGCCGAGTTAAAGAAAGTCTAAAAGTTGGACGGGCCGACACCCCTTTACATATTTAGTAGAGCTTCATATAACAAATAAAAAATATAACGAATCGGATGAACAATATATATGAGAGCTATAGCTATATCTGATTTCTATAAAATTCGACATACCTATTTCCATGCTTAATTTTGTCGTATATGCAAAATTCCATACTATCTTAAATTACCATATTACACGTTTGGTGTACAATAAAAGGCAATTCGGACGAAGATATATATTGGAGCCATATCTAATTTTTGACTGATTATCTCCAATTTCCTTGGGTCAAACAAACGTCTTGTGCATTGGTTACAAAAATACATGAAAAGACGGACGGACATGCATAAATCGACTCAGAATGTTATCTTATGCAGATCATAAATAGGAACTATGGGTCTATCTCGATTCCTTTTGCCTGTTACAAACAAGTGCACAAAGACATAATACCCTGACCACCTTATGGTGTAGGGTAATAAATAACCAGTAAATTAGCTAACAAACGGGCTGAGTGTAAACTATTCTTCATAATGTTGGACAACAAAGGTATTGTTCTGTATTATTTTCGGCTGTTAAATTCACTACACCACTATCAAGGTCAATTTAACAGATCACACAGCAGGACTAAATAGACAAACATTCAGTCTTTACAAGTTTTACACTAAATCTTACAATAATTCAAGACATAAACGACATTTTTACTTGAAATATTCATTCAGACCCTACAAAGTATTTATATTCTTGATAAGTCGATTTAGCGATGTCCGCCTGTCTATGTGTCTGCCTGTCCGTCCGTATTGATATAGAAGGCTAACATTTTGCACAATTATAAATAGACTATGTCGGATCACGTTTTCGTATAGTCCCACTGTATCTTCCGATATTCGGCATTTTGCCGATATAGGTCACATTTTCTAACAGAATTGTTAGAAATTCGATACTTGGAGTTTGCAACGGGTTTTACCTCCTTTGGCAGAACATTGCCTATATAGGTCTACGTTCCCGCGAAATTCGCTACTTAGGGTTCGTAAGGGATTCTATCTCCTGTGGCAGTTCATTGCCTGCATGTGTTCACATTTTGCTAGCCCCTTATGTTTCAATACTTTCCTATATTTGGCATCCTATGATTTTCGCCACTTATTTAAGGGGGAATCGTTTAAAAGTCAGTTTGTAGAGTTTATAATGACTACTGGGGTAGGCTCATTATTCCTTTTCCCTCCGAATATTTGGTATTTTGGTGATTTTAGCCACATTTTCTTAACAGATCTTTATACCCTACACCAAAAAATGGTAAGGATATTATGTCTTTGTGCATTTGATTGTAAAAGGGAGAAGAAAGCGGGATAGACCCATAGTTACTTTTAAGGATCTTCGAAGTATCACTTTCTGAGTCAATTTATTCATGTCAGTCCATCCATGTATTCTTGTGAACAAAATGCAGGTAGCATTTATTATCCGATTGAGATGAAATTTGACAAACAATATTTGTGTGGCCCTAGGACGAAGATTTAGATATAGCTTCCATATATCTTCAACCAATTTCGGGTTGATTGTGCCCCAAATGGTAAATAAGAGTCCTAATGACCTTAATTTTGGTACATCCCTCCAAGCTCAGTCTAGAAGTATCTACATTAAATTTGGTAAAAATCGGTTCAGATATAGCTATAGCTCCCATATATATTTTTCATCCGATTTGGTGTTTAAGTCCCTCAAATTCGAAATATTTATTCGACAATAATGATATTTGGTACCAGATATCTTATAGAGCTCTGAAATACATTTGACAAATTTTATCGAGAACAGCTAAGATTTGGATGTAGCTCCCATATACATCCTTAATCTGATTTCAGGTTTATTGTGCAATAATGGGTAATATCAGCCCAAATTATATAAATTTTCATTTTGTGGAACTCGGTTCCGATGTTATTTGGTATAAAAGATTTAAATGTATCCGTCTAATTTAGTGAAAGTCTATTCAGAATTGGATATCCCTCCCATATATTAGTTCCCTCTGAAACCAAACTAGAACTGCTCTAAAGCCAAATGTTGATAGGTGGTATGATCTACTTCAAATAAATTCCCTTGATACGGGAGCTCTTCTAAATATGCATAGTGGTGTAGCGTATCATATAGTCGGCCTGAAACAGTCATACTTTTATCGCTTAAGTGTAGAAGAGAATACATAAAACTTTTTTTTTTTTGACTGGCTTCTTCGTAAAAGAAAAAATAGTAGGCTAAACAAGTATAAATTACGGGCCGAAATTGAACTAAGTCAACCTAAAACTCCTTTGTTCTTTTGCGAAGAAGCCAGTCGATGTCTAAAGCCAGCCAAATGTGCATTTCATGTATTCTCACCTTTACTTAAACAGTCTGAACAATGAAATAGGAATATCGGTCTATGAGAATTCTGAAACAAAGTAAATGTGCAGATACGATTGAGGTTTCTTTACTGGTTTCTTCGTTAAATAACACAGGTGCGTAGGGTGAACAAATACAAAGTATGGACCTACAACCCCTCTTTTGCGAAGAAGCCAGCCGGAGACTAAAGCCAGTAAAAAAGCCTCAATTGGATCTGCACCTTTAATTGCATCTGTAGGTCAAAGGTATTGAAAATTATGCAATGATATTTAAGATTTCAATATCATCCTCTGCAAAAATATGACCAAATGTTGATGTGCTTGGGAAATCCTTTATATCGACTCTTAATCTTATGTTAATCTATGATATAATATTATTTAAATTTAACGTACGTTATATCAACTCTGCTCAGATACGTATATGTGTACGCTATTGCCAGCATCAATTCAGCATCCCTTCGTTTTAACGCATGCGCCGACTTTTCACAGCATCTGTCAAAACAAAACAGGACCAAAGTTCAGTGATAATTTTTCTTTGACAAACACACATTCCCCCAGAACGACCTTCGCACCGTGAAATATGTCTGATTGCAACCTTTAAAAAAAAAAAACAACTTAAAAAACTCGAAATATTCCAAAAAATCTGGGAACTGTGAAATGCGGCTTCACACTAAACCTAAGAGCACCAGTGAAATCAATCTAAGCTATGAGTAAGTGTAAATCTGGAAGCGTAAAGACACAGGAAGCGAACACCAATGCCTATTCGCATATTTGAGCCCTGATTTACGTATGTACGTACATACGTATGTATATGTGTGGAAGAGTGTGCAGAATCCAATAGTATGTAAACAAGTTTGCTTGCATCTGTGTGTGTGTGTGTCATATTTCTTCAACGGATTATTTTTTATGTTTGCTAATGGGATTCTTTGGAAATCACTTTTCAGTAATGGAATGAGAAACGTGCCAAGTAATCTGAAAATTTTGAGATCAAATATTGAATCCTTTATTCAGAGTTTATAGATTTTATGTCTGTCCGATGCTGACATTGCTATATAATATAGTGGAGCTTTGTGTGTGTGTGTGTAGGTGTGTTCTACGTCAATGAGTTTAATGGCCTGTGTGTGCATTATATGTATGAATGAAAAACGTTTTGACCTAGGCCTTCCCCCTTCCACCGTATTTTCAGTGATAGCTCGTGGACCACACAAAATGTTTTTATGTTTGTATGTTTGTTTTAGCTAATACTGTTTTGAATGAAAAATCTGGTGCTCTGCATTTTAAATACAAAACAAATATGACAAATGGGGTGTTATTGCCGCGGGTCTAATGTAATACCCAAGGGCTGCGTTCCAAATTTTCAATGACACTTCGTTGCAAGTATATGAAGGTGCACAGGGAAAACGTTAAACTATTGCCATGCCCCAGAAACATAGTAAAAAATAATAGTGCAGTTAAATCCGGTCAATTCGAATACTTTATGCTCTACTGGGTGAGAAATATTAATTATAATCAAATAGATTTGGAAGGTTGGCTGGAAGTGTACCTTTTTCAAATAATTGGATAGTATCGGTCATGACGAATGTAATAATATCGGGCGGATTCAGGCTGCAGTCTTCTCTTATGAGGAATCCACAAAAAAGGGAAAACTCTGATGTATGCTTCACAAAATGTGCACATAAACCTTGTACACATGAATATTTTCCAGAACAGAGGTATTTATTGTTGCTATATTCCAGACCCGGCAGGAATACACTGGTTTTAATGAGGATTGTTTTTCTGGCATAGGTCATCGGCTGGCTTTTTAGTAAAGAAATAAGAGAAGGAATAAATACATATTTTTATATATAAGTATTTGAATTCAAACGTGTTCTACTTTAAACTACGAATACCAGTAAGACCGTTCGAATAATGCAGTTAATGGGTTAGGCCATTATATAGGGGCCATACCAAAACGGGAACCTGTATAGACAATTCAAGGATTTACATCTATCAAATCTTCTAAACTACCTAATTTTAAATAATTTCGTAGGTAAATGTGACTATGATTATCAAACTAGCGAATATCGGTGGGTATCGTTACATGTGCACTATAGGAAAACGTGGACATAAATATTGAATGTTCTGCCGCCGGAGCGATAAATATCAATTTTTGGGAAAATTCGTGGAAAAATGTGGCAAACATTATCAAAAACCGAATATCGAGAGGTACCGTTATATGGGGGATACACCAAAACGTGGACCTATACATACGGACCGGAGCCAGAACCCATTATGATCTACAAAAGCCAATTTTTAGACAAATCCGTGAAAAAATGTGGCGAAAATCAATAAGATACTGAATATCGGAAGTTACCGTTATATGGCGGCTATCCCAAGACGTGGACCAATATATCTCATTTTCAATACCAACCATCCTACTAAAATATTTAGTCGGTTCCAGAACTGCTCTCTCTTTATGATATCGGAGAAAATTGCAAAACTAGTAGATTCTTGCAGGTTCTGGAACAGACCATGATACAATGAAAAAGGTAACCTAATTTCATATTAGCATTCCCAGCTCTGTATTTTCTGTAATTTACCTTGTCAAATTTCAATGCATAAAAAACCGTTCCCATCTCTGATTTTGTGTGTATACAATGGATTTATGAATATAAACCTAATTTCATATTAGCATTCCCAGCTCTGTATTTTCTGTAATTTACCTTGTCATATTTCAATGCATAGAAAACCGTTCCCATCTCTGATTTTGTGTGTATACAATGGATTTATGAATATAAACCTAATTTCATATTAGCATTCCCAGTTCTGTATTTTCTGTAATTTACCTTGTCAAATTTCAATGCATAAAAAACCGTTCCCATCTCTGATTTTGTCTGTATACAATGGATTTATGAATATAAACCTAATTTCATATTAGCATTCCCAGCTCTGTATTTTCTGTAATTTACCTTGTCAAATTTCAATGCATAAAAAACCGTTCCCATCTCTGATTTTGTGTGTATACAATGGATTTATGAATATAAATTTTGAAAATGAGATGTTGTCAAATGTATAAATTTGAAAAAATGTTAACATATGATAACATGATTTTACCTTCTTAGTTCTGGCATGGAACAGACCAATTGTTGGAATAATAAAATATGGTAGGTTAAAATAAAATTTGTTGCATTTCGGTTTTTTTTAATTTTTTGTCACGGTTTAGGACCACTGTGCGCGGTGGCAAAATATCAATATCGTACCATGAATGCATGAAGACTTATGTTACGTTGTTCAAATGTCAATAAGACCATGGCATAAATGATAGTAGAATTAAGAAGACAAAGTCATATTTTTATATATTTCTTAAATTATTCATTGTCAATATCCCATTGTCAAAATGTATATTTATAAATCCATTTCCTGTTTTATATGTTTCCTATGCTGTTAAATTCGACAAGGTAAATTACAGAAGATGCAGACATGTATATGCTCATTTGAAATGATTTAACCTTCTTAATTCTACCATGGTATTAATATCATGTATTAATGTAATGATCCGCAATGCCCGTTTTCTTTCCACACAATTTTAATCCTTTGAAAAAGATTTCAACATAACCCTTTCTCTCTTTCGTTTTAGGGGAAAATACCTATTGGATCCACGTTATATGACAAAAAGAGATCTACAATTTTATTATCGCTACTACAACATGACAAAGAAACGAAAACACTTCAAGAAGATAATTTTCGTTATACTCCTTCTTTGCTTCTTCTCCTACATTTTCATAGACTTCAATTTGAAGACGAAGCTAATAAATTTGAAAGATCGTTTCGAGTTTATCGCTCGCATCGATGCCGACTACAATATCAGCCAAGCATATTTCATTGATCTGCCGGGATGTCGGATGCCTTACTTTCCCGTAACCGATGACAATATAATACAGTTCATGTATAGACCTAGAAATTTTACCTGTAAGAAAGCTTTACTGCGCACTTTGGGCACAAATAGCCTGGAACTGAACGTCAACGAAAAAGAGATCCAAGATATCTATGACGTAAAAAATGTAGATGAGATCACTTGCAATTACAGCGAGGTGGTGCGCATCGACGATCAGCGAAACAAGTACTTGGATCCCGTCCCTTTTAAATTGGAATTCAATGGGAGCATACCTCTTAAATCCAATATGGAGTTCATAATGGTCGAATGTTGGAACAAAGAACTCCAGAGCATTTACAAGGATTTCCACTTTTTTGTCTTGTATGACTGCGGCGCCCAAGCAAAAGTCATTACGCATGGACATACCGAAAATCCTATAGAGAATATGGTGGAGGCGAACGAAAAGCCCTTATATGCAGACAACAGCAAAAGCAACACAATAGCTGAAGAAAAGTCGAGCGATACTCCAATTTCTGTGATGATGCTGGGCATAGACAGCGTATCGCATCTCAACTTTCTGCGTCAGATGCATTCAAGTGCCTCCTACATACATCGCAAACTTAACTACATAGAATTTTGGGGTTACAATAAAGTTGGCGACAATACATATCCGAATCTAATTCCCAGCCTAACGGGATTCGATGCTGAAGAACTGGACATCTCTTGTCTGGGACCGCCTAAGGGCCGTTCTAGTGTTTATGACAAGTGCTCTCTCATATGGAAGCGTTTCAAGGCGGCGGGTTACAAGACCATCTATGGCGAAGATGTCGGCTACCTAAGTCTCTTTAATCGCCAGCAATCCGGATTCAAGAAGAAACCTACAGATTTCTATTTGCGTCCAATTCTACTCGAAATGGAACGTTACATTGCCAGCGAGAAAACAGTGAATGTGGCACTGTGCATGGGTGGCCGTCGCACTGTCGATGTGCTCTTCGAATATATTGGTAAATTATTACCTCTGATGAGCAGGGAAAAGTTCTTCGCCTTTTTCTGGGCCGTCACAATGACTCACGATCTCTTCAATATGCCCATATTGCTGGACGAAGACCTCAAGCAACTGCTGGCGACTTTTGAGACGAGCGGTGTGCTGAACCGTACCATTGTGCTGTTGATGAGCGACCATGGTATACGTTGGGGATCCTTTCGTAAAACATATCAAGGCATGATGGAGGAGCGCCTACCCCTTCTTATTGCCATATATCCGATGTGGTTCAAGCAAAAGTACCCCGAAGCAGTGGCCAACATGGAATTGAATGCGAAACGTTTGACGACACCCTTCGATTTGCACGCTACAATGTTCGATCTATTGGATTTACGCCAAATTAAACCGAATCGGCTTAAGAAGCGCACAGCCGAACTCTATGATCCGGACGCCAATTTGCCGCGTAGCATCAGCCTCTTTCTGCCCATACCAATTAATCGCACTTGCGAACATGCGGGAATTGCATCGCATTGGTGCAGCTGTCACCAGCGTCAGGAGTTGCCAACAAACGATGCGCGAGTCCAGAGAGCCGCTCGTTATATTGTCAAACTAATAAACGATCGCTTGAAGGACCATCCCCAATGTCGAGTGCTGTATTTGAATTCGATCATGGACGCCACAGTGGCCCAGCCCCATCATAAAATTGTCAAAGAACTCGGTATAAGCGACTACACCATCGACATCACCTTTGCGTCTTCAAACAAAGCCCGGTCTAGGTTTGTTCGAGTCCACAGTGCGATTGGACACAAATTACGGCACGGCCCTAACCGGTACCATCAGCCGCATAAATCTATACAGCAGTCAGAGCTACTGCATCGATGATTATGCCTTAAAAATGTTTTGTTACTGTCACAGATAAACGAAACTATCGTCCCCGTAATTGTATGACCCAAATTGGGTTAGATTAATCAAAAAACAAAACAAAAAATCCAAACTGACTTTAAAAGCGCATTCGTAGCATTACTTAGTTTTATTTACATTCACACATAAATACATCCATACATACATACATTCATGCGTACCGAAACATATAAAACATAAAGACTTTCTTCACAGCATAATTGTGTAACTGAAGCCTTAAGATTAATTGAAGAAATGAAATTAATAGACATTAAACATTAAACTAATTTCTTATAAACATTAAATTGTTTTGTTTGTTTTATTTGTTGTGTTGACGTGAAGAATGGCGCCCAGTTGTTAAATATATGGCACTTGCCGAATGTGCACGAATCTTCAACTGCTGTAACAATTGACGCGTTTGAAACGCGTTCCTAAACGCAACATAACAAAAAGATGAAAGCAATACATTCTGTTCTAGAATGTGTGGTGCCGTAATTGGAAAACCAGTAAAAATTAAGGGAACACAAACAGACGTGGTATTCTACTTCGCTACTTTCTACAACACACATTTATATATCTATTCTTTACAGTGTTGGCATGTTTGTTCGGGATACCGTAGTATTTTGTTGTTGCAAAATAGTCAGGCTTAATCCCATTATTGTTGCTTTTATAAAATTCTATTCTTTATACCCTCAGCCATATGGCTAGAGAGGGTATATATCATTTGATACGGTCAAAACGTGCCTAGTCGAAATAACGTTTAGACCCTAGTTCTCTTCGGACCAAATCCGTTTCAGGACATTTGGAGTCGATCTAGCGATGTTCGTCCGTTTGTCTGTCTGGCTAGCTGAGGCGCACGATACTTTGTACATTGCAATATTATTGCCAAATTTAGATCGAGTTCGGGGATGGCCAATATCGGTCCACTCTTTCTGGTACCTCCCCCACAAAATGTCAACATTTTCAAAGAAAATAATTTACTGCACAGAAAGAGAAAGAATAAACCGATTTGGCACACATATTTTAAATCCTAATATTTACATCAGTGCAAGGTCAGGTGCGAAAATGGACAATATTGGTCCACTGTTTCAAGTACTCCCCCCATAAAAGGTCTACATTTTGAATAATTAAAACTCTTATGAAATGTGATGCAAGTGTCCGATTGTCTTCAAATTACACACATCACAATATTTTTATTAACCCAAGGCCTGATGTGAAGAGGGAATATATCGATGGAATATGTGATTGGAATATATATATTAACATCCGACTTCAGACTTGGTACAACGCAATATGTCTATCAACACAAGATCTGTTATAAATATGGTAAAGATCCCTCAAGTACCTCCCCCACAAAGGGTCAAAGTTTTGAATAACGAAAACGATCATAAAATCCGAAATAAGCTTCCGATTCTCTTCATTTTTCACATATCCCATTATTTCTACCACACCTAATGGTGCCTCCCCCAAAAAGGGTCAACCCATGATGCTCATAAAACGCGAAATTAACATTCGATTTACTATTTCTATCAACACAAGTTCTGTTATAAAAATGGTAGAGATCAGACCATTTCTTCTGGTAAGCCCCGCATAATGCTCAAGATTTTGAAAAACAAAACGCTCAACGAAAGCGAAAAAGTTATCCAACTCTCTTCAAATTTCACACATACAAACATTTTTGCTAACACAAGATCTCTTGCAGAGATAATATTTATCTGCGAATCCCCTTCTGGCACCTCACCCACAAAGTGTCACAATATAATAAATTTTTAATTGTCATAACTTGCGAAACAAGTTTGATTTTCTTGATTGCCCATCCCAATATTTTATCTGTATTAGATGAAAAATGAAAGTGGAATACTTCCGTCGAGTATATATATATATATATATATATATATATATATATATATCCTTCGGAACATACTCCATTGAGGGTCAATAATATGAATAATCATAACACAAGTCAAAAAATATTTAGATAATGGAACATTGGCTGATGATATGCATCTGTCGGCTAAACCTTCTGATACTTTTTAACTTGTTTAAATATATTTTGACTTATGTTATGATTATTCAAATTGTTGACCTTCTATGGAGTAGGTAATGGTCCAGTATTTAAAATTTTAAAAATACCGAATAAAGCCGTTATATTGCTGTCTATACGACGTGGACCTACATGGGCATTGTTTGTCAAAAATCATTACCATATTCAAATTCGAAACTTGAAATAAACGGTGAATAATGTAGCTGAAATCATCAAAATATCGTATATAGAGAGGTTGCGTTATATCGGAACTGTGCGAAGACCTGAACCAGCATACACAATTTTCGGTGGGTATTGTACCCGAAAATAGGGAGGTACTGGTATGTGGGCCTATACGAAGACCTGGACCTGCATAGACAATTTTCTGTCACAGACTGTAGTTCCCATTACGAGCTCTAAATACGTAATTTGAAACAATTCCGGTGAATAGTGACGCTAAAATCATCAAAATACCGAATATAGATAGGGAGGTACCGTTATATTTGGGCTATACGAAGACGTGGACCTGCACAGACAATTTTCTGTCTTAGACTGTAGCATCCATTACGAACTTCAAATACCAAATTCTAAACAATTCCGGTTAAAAATGTCGTTAAAATCGTCAAAATACCGAATATCGGGGGGTACCGTTATATGGGAGCTATACGAAGACGTGGACTTGCAGAGACAGTTTTGTGTCTTAGGCTGTAGTATCCATTTCGAGCTTCAAATACCAAATTTAAAACAATTCCGGTGAATAATGTGGCTAAAATCATTAAAATACCGAATATCGGGGGGTACCGTTATATGGGGGCTACATGAAAACGAGGACCATGGCTCATTTACGAACTTAACCCGCCTACTGGAAAAATAAACATGTGCGCAAAATTTTAACCTTATATCTCAATTCGTTCGAAAGATAGCGTGATTACAACAGACAGAACGACGGACATTGCTAAATCGACTTAGAATTTAACGCTGATCAAGAATATATATACTTTGTTGGGTCTGACATGAGTATTTCGAGGAGTTACAAACGGAATGACAAAGTTAATATACCCTCCACAGTATGGTGAAGGGTATAAAAATGTGACAGCTCGAAACAAAAGGATCAAACTAAATGATTTCTACAAAAAATATTTCTATACAGGACACAGTTCATAGATTAGATCTTAAACGATGATCACGGTACCTCCTCTCTATTCTGTATTTTGATGATTTTAGCGACATTATTCACCGGAATTGTTTAAAATTTGGTATTTGAGGTTCGTAATAATACAAATACAATTGTCATTAATAGGTGGGTCTGGTTACTTTTGCTGCAGGAATTGTCCAAAAACATCTTTCTGAGAGAGTAAGGTAGTTTTATTCTCTTTTGCAAGGAAAATGCGAAAAGTAAATAGACGGTATTCCTGCAGAAGCTTGCAACTAATCAGCTGATTTGTCAAAACAAACTAATTTGTCCCTAATTAAAAGAATTAAAGGAAAGGAAGCGCCCATGGTACAATGAAATAAAGGTAACCTCATTTCATATCAGAATTCCAAGCTTTGCATTTTCTGTAATTTACCTTGCCAAATTTTAATGGATGAAAAAGAGTTCCATCTCTGATTTTGTGTGTATACAATGGATTTATAAATATATATATTTTGACAACGAGATTTTGTCAAATGAATAATTTTACTAGTTTTATAAATAAAATGGAAATTATAAAAAAAAAATATGAGCAATAAAAGAAATATAGATTTGATGTGTTCTCCGGAATCCTTTAAACGTGTTGCTAATGGCGTTTGTCTAAAAATGTTGGAAATAGTCTTTTATGATTCCTATGATATTTTGATTTTTTTTTTTTTCAAAATAAAATATAAAATATTTTTCCAAAGTGCTGTAAACATAAATCTAATTTTCAACTGAATTTAGAAATTTTCAAAATTAATTAATATATAAATTAAAACAATACATACTTTGGCAAAAGTTGTGTATGACACGTTTTTATATATTTTCTTTATAGTCCGATTTTCTTATCCCTAGGACTTTCTACATTATTCGGTTTTCATTATTACATCATTCCTTTAACATATATGCATTTTTTCATAGATATGGCAGGTTTTTGTAAATGTAAGTGGTTGCAGTGACTACCAGTTTTTTTTTTTTATTTTAAAATAATATTTAATATAAATTGTAATTAATTTCGTGAAATAAATTTATAATTCAGTTCCTTAATATAAAGTAAACGATTTGCGTTATCCATTTTTTGTTTAAATAAATTTTGCTGTCATTGTCATATTATTAATATAAAATATGGCAACATAAATTCAGTAAATTTGTGTTAAAAGATAAAGTGAAGATTAACTGATTTGGCGTCTTCTTCCAAGAAGGAAGAAGAAAATCCAAAAAAATATGATCTGACCTTTGGCTTATCGGACAGATCATATTTAAATGAAACTTTTAATAACCCGATAACATCATCATCATTATTTGCCCGATAACATCAATTTTTTTCTATCGGAAAGATATAATAGCCGGCCTTTATATATTAACATAACAGAACTGCAGGAATGTAACACTTTTTACTACGATAACCGATTTTCCCTTTATGATATTGCAAAACAAGTAGATTTTTGCAGGTTCTGGAAAAGAGCCCATATTGCATGGTAGAAGAATATAGGTAGTCGCGTCGACACAGCTGCAGGGACAATGAACTATCAAACCAATTTTGGAATTGAAATAGTTGAATGAAAAATTATTTCAATTTGTAAAAATTGACGTAGTATAAGAAAACATATAAAAATCTACTTCTATTTGAAAAACATTTAATTTTTTTTGACATATCAATGCTCCCAAGCGTTGATGCATGGTAGAAGAATATAGGTAGACGCATCGACGCAATTGCTGAGACAATGAACTGCGAAACCAATTTTGGAATTAAAAATGTTGAATATAAAATTATTTAAATTTGTAAAAATTGTTGAAAAATGCATATCTTTACAACCCACGATTTGTGTTGTATAAGAAAACATGTAAAAATCTACTTATATTTGAAAAGAAATTTAAAATTTTTTGACATAGCAATGTTCCCAAGCGTTGATGCATCTACCTGTATTTTTTACCTTGCGTTGATGCATCTACCTGTATTCTTCAGCAATGCCATATTGTCTACCTATTGGTTTATTTACAATAACCACGTGTAAACGTATGTGTTTTTAATTTTTCTCTTCTGCACCGAAACTTCGCTGCCGATGGAATTTATAGAATTCCAAAGCCGATTGATTTACATCTGATGAGCCGACGTCGCCGAAAAATTCGTTCCGCTTGTTTATCTTAGAAGATCCTCTTCAGACGAAAAAAATAAACAAAAAAATATATAATTAAAATTTATTGGATATTTCTTTACTAAATGCCGAGCAATGACACCTTGCGTGCTAATGACCGCGGTGGCGGCAATGAACAATGCAACTATATTCGCCAAAGCGATAGGGTTTACGAGCACCGGGAATCTCAGGCCACTGCCATGACTGTTGACTACACTGGACAGTGGATTCTCTTGGCGGGGCGTCGACATCTGGCTTTGCAGCGTCTGGGAGAAGACGGTGATGAGGTTTGCTTGAGGAAATACAATACGAACTCCAAATATGAAGTATCGGCGGCAGAGTTCGCAATTTGTCCCGAAAGCAAGGAATCGTGCGCCATAGCGGTAACGTATTAAACTAGCAACATTAAGAATTACCCAGCATTAATGTCTTTAATATTCAGACAAGCCAGCATATTGATGTGGTTACATGGGGAGCTGCCGAACCAAGATATATTCATTCATTACGCGGACATACCCGTATGGTGACCGATATTGATTGGCATGGTAAAAATCCGAACCTTTTGGTTAGCTGTTCTATCGATACATTTTCGCATATTTGGGACTTACGAGACTCGAGGAAACCCACACTATCCTTTAGCGCTGTATGTATGTGTAAGTATATACGTCTGTGTGTTCTGTTGATAAATATCTGCGGTATAAAAGTGGAGATACAATGACACTTGTACACCAATTCTAATGTGGCTATTGGCGATCAGATTTTTATTCTTATCCATGTGATCCTTTGTGAGGTGAAATCGAAAAGAAGATGGTGTCATATAATACACCAGTCGCATTCCAGAAGTTGTCCTTTATTTTAATAATTAACTTATTTAATATTTAAGCCGGTGCTACTCAAGTTGGCTTCAACAGGGTCTCAGGGAACTTGTTAGCAGCAGCACACGACGGTGATTTACGAATTTGGGATATTCGAAAAGGTTCCTGTCCCATACATTACATAACTGCCCACCAAAATCGGTAAGCATAGAAGTTTATGTTCAACGTCCGTTTATATGTTTTTTTAAAGAAAATGTTTCAAATATTTAGTGTACATGGTATTAATTGGAGTCATCGGAGGGAAACATGTCTTGCTACCGCAAGTCAAGATGGCACTGTTAAATATTTTGATATAAACAACCCCCGAAGAGCAGAAAAAATAATAACTACTACTTCGCCAGTGTGGAGAGCTAGGTACACGGTGAGAGAATAGAAAAAAAGGCCGTTTTGACTACTAGCATTAAGTAAGAATTGCATTTCAGCCTATTGGTAATGGACTTGTCAGCATTGTTGTACCTCATCTGGGTAGAGGTGAAAATAGTCTTCTTTTGTGGAGCAACAGCAAACAAAATGATCCGGTTTGCTCATTTGTTGGCCACACTGATGTTATATTAGATTTTGCTTGGCGCCCAAATCGAGAAAATCAAATGGAAATTGTATAAAATTATTTTAATGTTAACCATACAGTTGATATATAGCACACATACTTTCAGGAATTAGTTACATGGTCTCGTGATCGAACTTTGCGAGTTTGGAAAATTGATGATAAAATGCTGAAATGTTGCGAACCCGAAAATGACACAAATGAAAACTACGACATTTGTACACAATCTCGAGTCGGAACTCCAACAAAATTTCAGCCTCCATACTGCTCGTCCTTTCAAAGAGTGCCCGTTTTCCGATCGCAGCCCGTTGCCGTGTCTTTGCCCGTCGAAAGAGCCGATAACGTGCACAACACTATCATCTCAAGATCACCAACATTAATAGCAACTTCCGCACGCTCCTCTGCCCATCGATATAGAGAAGAAACAGCAGTTGCGCGATCCTTAACCGATCAGCCCACGTGCTCACTTCATCACGAGTTTTCACTGCTGAATACAAATATGCCCCATGTTGAGGTAGACACCTTAGATGCAATAAAACGTTTTGCAATGTTTAACATTTCGGCCGGAGGGCACGTGGCTGTCTTGCATATAACGTTTCCCACGGATTACCCCAGTCCAAATAATAGTCCAGAATTTGAATTTTGTGACGGCACAACAATGCACGAACCTTTGTCGAGAGTTATGTTGAAAGTTCTGAGAACGAATGCATTGCAGCGTGTCAAGAAATCTCGTACATGCTTAGAGCAGTGCTTAAGAGCTTTAGTAGCTGCAATGAAAAAGGTAAAGATAAAACATTTTCCTGCGAATAATTTGATATCATAATTTTATTACTATTTTAGTCAGGTGGAGGATCTGAAAAGTCTCATGTACGTTTGCAATCACCTAGATTGGAAGGAGCTTTGAGCGGAGCTCTCCACGACGCTTGCATACCCTTCCCACGAACTTCAGCTGCCACATTCAATTCTGTGGGAATGTTATGCAGTTTCACACAAACTCTCAATACAAAAAGACTGACATTGCGCCACCAAAACATTACACCACGAACATTGTGGGCAACCAACGGCGGTGGACTTCTGGGTAACGTTATGGGTGAACAACCCATGCTCTATGCACATAGAGATTCGAATGCATCATTTTATCTGCAGGACCGCATGACCTCAAAGCACTCAAAGAATCGTTCAATTCAAAAAGCTAATCATTCAACGGCCATAGTTCAAATATACGAATGTAACAAATTGCTCAATATCAGCCGAGTCATGGCTTCTGAGTACTCGCTGGACAAAACAGACATAATTGCGACCTGTCGAAAAAACCGCCTTGTTTGTGAAAATCAGGGCCGCTATGACCTTTTGCCAATTTGGACCATGGCTGAGATGATTGCAACACCAAATGTACCTCTTAGAAAGACAAAGCTGAGCAAAATGGTTCTTAATGAGGATCCGTTTAAGAAAGCTCTATTGGAATCACTTATAATGCATTATGCAGCTGTTGGAGACCTTCAAACTTCCGTCATTCTTGCATGCTTGTTTCATCCTGGTGTAGCAAATGGATATACCGGTGTGGCCAGTATTAATGGCGCACCAAGTGGTAACGCACATGGTCATGGGAAAATACCTATACTTACACCCAATACATCACCATATCACACCGTGCTTCCTATTGATTCCCACGTTTCAAATTCCAACAAAGGCACAACCAACGCCATTCAACTACGAAGCAGTTCCTGGTCGGATTCCTTAGATTGTGTGGATAGTAAATTCGCAAATAATGAAATGTGGTCATTATCACTAATCCGTCGTTCAAAAATACCATTATTTGACCACTTCAAAAAATTGTATGCTGAAATTCTGTACGGCTGGCAGTTGTTAACGACACGTTCATTAGTAAGAACATGGCACATTTTTTATTTGTTTCGAATAACTCATCACTAAATCTAATTTATTAGATCTTAAAGCACACAGTGATGCTCAAATGTCCCCGACAAGGCGTTGAATTTGTAACTGAGTGTTCCGGATGCAATAAAACAAAACGCACACCCGCCTGCGGAGCTTGCCAACGGCCTGTTCTTTTTTGTGCACTCTGTAGAATACCAGTTAAGGGAGCGGCCAATGCTTGTCTATCGTGTGGCCATGGTGGTCATTTCATGCATATGAAGCAATGGTTTGAAGTAAGTATTAACAATTTGGATGTTGATGCCGTCATCCTTTATACTTGTCTTTTTAGAAACACAATGTCTGTGCATCTGGCTGTGGCTGTCAGTGTTTACAAGAAACTGACTTTCTTTTGGAATGTGTAAAATGAGTATGAGTATAGTAACTATTATAAAATCCACTCAAACCAAAAAACGGAGTTTTCGAAAGCTCTTACGGTTGCTGCGAGACGAATTCACGGAAACAGTTTAATATTTTATTCCTCTTGTTTTATTCAAATGAAATTGTTGAGTTGATTCAATGTTATTTTCGCTTTAAGTGAATAAGACTATCTTTATGAAAAATGGTGTATATAATTATATATTCAAATAAAAAAAAATAAATTTTTATTGAAAAAAAAAATAATAAAATACATATAACATTTGTCAAAATGTATTTTTTACTTTTTTTTCTGCTCCGTAATCGTATCCATACGGTGATTCAAAGCAGTTGATGTGGCTCACGATTAAGAAAATGTTTCAGATTTATCGACTCCTTAAGCACGATTGTCGTCAGCTTGACATCACGATCATAACAATGATATATTATTTTACGTAAGATCTTTTAGATTTTTTTATTTATATGGAAATTACATTTACGAGAGCCTTTCATTAAATGTGTTGTAAGGTAAAAAATAAAGTTAAAAAAAAGAAAAATCATATTTGATTTCATTCTGTTATAATTTCTTTAATATAAAAACGGTAGTCAGTCGTATTTAAAAGTCTGCAAGCGTCATTCATGGTGTTTTAACTTATCTTATAAATTACGCCACAAACACTTATCAATATTACATTAGAAAAAATAATTTAATAGAATGTCCGTTCATAAAAATTGCTTTATAAGTCTTGCACGTTTTCATTCATCAGAGATTTTGCAGAAGTTCTTAACATAAATGGTCGTCGACAAACATTTTTAAAATCACATTACACGAAAGTTCGAGGAATATAGGATGTAGAAGAAAGCAAGGAATTGGAAGGTACTGAAATTAACACAATGCACTAAAATAAGAGATCGAATAAATGTTAAAACGCTACAATATTTGAAGTGCACAAACTCACGGTCATACCATTCATAAGAATTTCATTCTTCACAAATGTCTGAAGCCCGGTTCTTTAGGCAGGGTGTTGTTTGCATTACTTTTGTGATTTAAAGGATAGTGTCGGGTGGCAAAACTTCTTGGTTAGAATTGATCTTTAAACGCCTGTACAGCTTTCATCAACATTCGAACGTTACTGCACTGTGGACTTTTTGGATAGTTGATCAAGAACATTTGGCAATTACGGAATAGCTCTTGCAATACTTTTGGAGCATGTTCTCTGGTAATGGGGTCATGAGGATTGATCGCTAATAATGCTTCCGCCAAATAACTAAAAATGTAAAATTTCAAATTAAAAACAAAAAAACATTTGTTGAGATACAGTTCATATTTTATGCTCTTGACGTACTTTTGTTTGACCTCATTGTGATTGCTCATGTCAGCTGAAATCTGTTGAATTAGAGATAGTAAAACCTTTTGCTCCAAACAGCAGTCGGGCGTGAACACTGCATTATGATCGGCACACTTCAGTGTATACTCCACGAGACTCAAGTCATTACCCAGCAATGCTTGGTTGAAGGCTTTGTTGATTTGTCCCTGAAGCAAAAGGTGTTTAATTGTCTCCTTCATATCATACATTGGGGCGGGTGTATTTGCTTGCGAACGAATTACTGCAGCCTGGCTTTCGAACGATTTCCGTATCTACGAAAATATTAAATATAATAACGATATTTTAATGGGAGGCGGACGATAGACGCTATGGCAATACCTCAGTTCGGACCGTTTCCTGGATTTGACGTGAGAGCAACAATTCCAAACTTTTCATATCTTTACGCGTGTCCAGCATGGCTTCCTGAACACTATTCCTATGCTTTATAAGTATTGAGTCCAAATGTTGTCGAAAGCTTGAAAATTTGCCAATAATCTCTTCCGTAGAATCATGCATGGGTTGTAGTTGTTGCAAGTAGTTGTCAAATTGTTCCATAACTGTATAAATGAGACACAAAAACAACTTATATGTATTAGAGATGAGTGGATACAACAACAAACATACATTCTTTAATTCCCACTGAGAACGCTTCATGTAATTGTTTGAACATGTTCTGTGAGGATTTTTCGTAAGCTGGAATTAGTGTACTGGACATGGACTCAACAAAAGCTGCTTGCAGACTGCTTTGAACACCGACTAATACTGATTTACCAAAAGCATCAATAATACTCTGTAATCCAAAATTATTATCACTCACGCGACCTCACTTTTATAAATTGAGAGATATATCTTACTTTGCTCTTGCAAGCCTGTGCAATATTCTCCTTAATCATCATGTCGAATGATTTCAACTTTTGTGCAACATCTAATTGAATCTGCTGTTGCATGTTATCCAGTTTTGCTGCCAAAATTGGAGCTAGTTGACGTTGTATTTCAATTGCCAGTACCTTTGAAATCATTTCGCCAAACTGGGTAAGGACATACTGGTTCATAATTTGCATGATGCTGTCCCGTAATTCACGATTCTGAACATCTCTGAAAAAAGAAACAAATATGTAATACCGTTTCGTGTTATCTTTGTAACGAAAAAAATTTCCACATACCTTCCCATCAGGAACGTAGATAGTTTCCGATTGTGTTCAGTTTCGTATCGCATCAAATAGGTTTCCATCATTTTGGACAGTTGCATCTCCAGTTTGAAGCCAAGTTCGGTCATATTCTTCTGAGCAACTGCAGGATTTGTCTTTTTCATATCAGCTATTTCCTTTTGAAGGTTGTTAATTTGAACTGACTGCATTTTTATTAAATCTGAAAAAGTCGTCAGGTAAAGCGCATTTTTAAAGCTTTTGAATGCATTTGATGCACGTTTGAATGCATTTGATGCACGTTTGAATGCATTTGATGCACGCATTCGATGCACGTTTAAATATTTTCTAAGCTTACCAATGAGTTCGTTCATTTTCATGTTGATTTCTCCTAAATCCGTTCCTGCAGCATTGTCGACATTGTCATTTTGCATTATGTTACTGCAGGATGTGGTTCCTAGAGTTGGGACGATGTGGCTGCCACTCAAATTTGACATGGATGAGGCATTGACAGCTTGCGATATTAAATTTGCTGCATTTTGAAGTTCAGCTGAGTGTTTGCTTGTAGACACCTTAGGAACGTCCGGAACTTTTGGCCAATTGGTTTTTGAATTTGAATTGGACATATCTTTATCTAAAGGAAGAGTGTCGGTTCATTGAAGTTGTATTAAAACAAAAGAATTAAATTATTTGTATGTGAGTGTAGAACTAGTTACCTGATATTTCTTCGACGTTATTTTCTTCCACCTCTGCAACATCCGTTTCATTTGCGTTGTCATTTTCATTGTTGCCTTCCAGCAATTCATCACCACTGAAGGAGCTCTTGTCGTAGTCTTGTAATGACATTATTTCCTGCACTTCACGACTAGGACTTGAACCTCCGCTAGTCAAATTTTCACCAATATTGCGTCCTGGGTTTCTATCGATGGCTTTATAAGAAAGAAACATCATCTTCTATACATTTATGTTTGTTGTAATTTCATACCTCTAAACTTTTCCTGGTATTCGAGGTCTCTCTTCATCTGGACCTTTTGTTGTTCTTGATCTTCTATTAAGCTGCTGTTGACCAAATTTAACAGATTCATACTATCCGGCTTCGGAGGAGCCGATGGATTTTGACCAGTTACAGCCGCTAACATCAATATGGTATTAAGAACTTCACTGCTTACATTTTCTGGTGTCTTTCGTTCTAAGAAAAAAGAATGTTATTCAAAATTGTCTACTACTCTTTACGTGTTTGCATGTTTTTTTCAGTACCATTTGTTGATGATGATGTAAAGGCATCTGGTGTCATTAGATTCACCTGGGGATAGCTCTTAGCGGAAACATTTGCTGATACTTTCGGCGAAGGATTGCGCGAATCGGTAATACTCTCTGTTGCTATAACACTTGGAGCTGCGGCTGCAGCTGCTGCCACCGAAACTACATTCGAGCCACCGGTATTTGAAACCAAGTTAGTGTGACTATTGCTGCTGCCACCACTGTTAGTTACATTGGTTATTCCCAATAGTAGTTCCAAGGCATTTTTCTCATTGGAAGCAGGGGCGTCTTCTTTTGCCACTAAATGAATATTCTTTACATTGTCCCTCTCGTCGGATTGTTTACCTGCCTCATCGTGACGTTCGGCTACATTATCGATGCGTTTGCTCTCATCACTAGCGATATCCAAATTGCTGGAGTTTTGTTCTCTCTTTTGACTGGAAACCTCACTTGACATTGTACTTTTTATTTCAGCATTTTCCTGCACAGTGGGCTGATATAAAATGTTACATTCTTGCATACTTTTGGATTGCACAATATACATGTGTACCACGACACAATACAAAGATGACGTTTCCTCATCATAGTCATCCAACTCATCGCACATATAGTTTTCATTAGCACATTTATATCGCCGCACAGCCGCATCAACTATAGAGAATGACAATATTCCAGAGCTGAGGGGAAATTCAGAGATACTCTTCACACAGACCAGTGTTGTTGGTACTGTACCAACCGCACCACTATCCACATTCCTTGAGTTTGATTTAGACGATACCGATGCGATGCTGTTGCTGCTAATATCCATGTTCATGGAACTTTCACCACAAACAGCGGTTCCATTCAGAGCAGATATGAAGTTATTTGCATTTATGATTTGCATAACGTAGCAAGTGCGTGTTTCAAAGTTGGATAAAACTAAATACGATGCGGTGCGATCTATCTCGGCAATAAAATTTAGAGGTTTTCCTGTGGAACTGGCGATATTTATGGTTTGAAGGCAATTCCATGTACCACAATCCCAAACTTTGAATTCCGTGTTATTTTCGGCACCAGTGATTGCAAATTTCCAATATGGGCTAGAAAATACATAATAAACAACTAAGATAATTTTGTTTTTATTTCGTTGAGGCTTACGCTTCGTTATTTTTCGTTAAATTGTCCAAGAAGAAGAACGAAGAAACAGGTTTTCCATTATGAGGCTTCCAAGCATGCAAACATCTTGGATCTTTGTCGTGTATATAACCTGATAGAAACGTATAACACCATCAGTGCTGCCCACTCCCAAGGTTGAACCATCAGGAGATAATGCTACCCAGGTTATAGTTATAGCTTCATCGGAATGCTTTAAATATCCAGATTTCAGATCTTTTGATTGAAATTTCCCGATCTGCAATTAAATATAGTTAGAATTATATTAACGATAACGACACACAACATACCCCATGTTCAGCAACAATAATATTTATATTGAAGCATTGAAATACGGAGCCGCGGGCCCAAACTAGCAGTTGGCTGTCTTCGTCGTCGTCAACAGTGACTTCTATGAATGGACACCAGGATATTTTATCATATTTCGGGGTATAATTCGACAATGGGTCTTCAATTTTTATTATTAAATTGCACAATAATGATCCTTCCAGCATGTCAATTTTATGAACACACAGCGAAGTGGCATCGATGGATGCAAGTATGTGTTCTTTCTCAATGTGGGCAAATTGCAAATCTAACACTTCGCCTGTCATTCCCTTGATTAAAGCTCTCAAACCTTTAGCGGTATTCACAACACGGATCATACCCTCCATCCGGGAAACCTTATTGTTAACTGTAAGAAGGGAGTAGAAACCAAATCAAATTAGATGTATTGAATATGTTAGAGTAATCTAAAATATAAGCTATGTTCAAAGACATGGTTAATAAATTAAATTTTTTAGCAGTGAATGTGGTTCCTTTTGTTTCAAAACACATCCACCCGAAATACATTTTTCTAGTCAATCCTTATTTAATGGTACGGTACATTAGTGTCCATTATAGAAATACTAAAGCAAACTGCTAATATATATTAATATAGCAAATGCAAAATTATTACCGTAAATAACATAGGCTATGTATTTTCCATCAATGTGAACAGCAATCAAATGACCGGGATAATTTTTCACTTCCCATTTGTAGTCGACGAAGTTTTTCAACTTGACTTTGGAGGATCCATGATCGTGTAAACCAGGATTTGCAATAATTTTAACATTTTTGGTACTGATATCGTGACAACAATGTTTATCGCCCGGTTTAAAAGATCTGAAAACCAGAAATAATTGGTCAAATAATTGAAGTTGTATTATTTTATATTATTATTTTTGATTGAATAAAACAGTAGTAAATATTTGCCTTACATTATAGAGGTGCTGTTTTTCAGACCGCCTTCGGCACACTCTGCAGCAGGTGAACTTTGCTGACCGGTACTCATGGTTTTGTTGGTGATACAATGATGTTTTATTGGATATTGCCTATGTGTAGAAAGCCGATTTGCTATACTTAGTTTGTTAGACAGAAATTTCGCAGCTTTAGTCCTAGTCGAAGCGGTTTCAATGCCACGCCTTTCTGTAGTTTTAGTCTTTACTGTTTGCCCCAAAACTGCGTTTATTGCCAGAAGCGCAGTCAACATCTACAATATAAGCCACACTTATTCGTATATCGGCTAGTAGCGTTCCAAAATCTCTGCCCGGACAATAAATGAAGATATTAAACAAAGCGATTGAAAACCAAGTCGAGCGTTGTTTTAAACTACTGACGTCCTTAAAAAGTAGGGGGATTCTCTTTAAACGAGGAAAAACATAAATTAATATAGACGTTAAGACAACGATGAACAACGCAAATCGGCTACACTATTTTCTTATTTTATACGCGATTTTTGCAATATTTGCCTTTTGCAATAAAATAAAATTATGCCGCACTCAGACAACGAAGCGGAGCAATTTTTTCGGCGGCGGCAATTTATCAGGTGTAAACCATTAGCCGGCGGCGCGCATTGCTTTTTGTGAACTTGGTACACAAACGCATTAACACTATTACAGTACGTTTACATATAAATCTTTATCCGGATTAAATCTGATAAGTAACCAATCACAATAAAGGTGACTGTTGAGTTCGATGCTTTTAATAGTTGCCGTTCAAAAATAAAACACTTGAAAATTATTCAAAAATAATGTTAATTTAAATCAAGGGTTCAAGGGTTCAGTCGCATCCAAAGACAAATTGGAAATTTAATTAGCAACAAAGATCATTTGTTTACGACTTATGTGTTATTTCTCTGTCGGGACGAGCTTACTGAGCTGAAATTTGCAGTGAAAATGAGAGCCAGATATCACACACTCACCACTATGCGACGCGTTTTGCCTTTGGTTAAACGGCTCATTGGGCATATTTGGTGTGGATGTTCTCCGGAAATTAGTATTTATTTCGAACTTATTGCGACTAAGATTATGCGAATTAAATACCAAAAAGCCGCCAAGTTCGACTCAAGTTCTATTAGCAAATCTTTTTCAAAGCAAAAAAAAAAATATATATTTTTTTGTTACAAATGTAAATTTAATAAAAAACGAGCTCGAAGTCTTTGTTGTTGTTTAATTATTTATTATTTAATAAATTATTTATTATTTAATAAATTTAATTATTTATTATTTAATAATTAAATATCTAAAAATCAAATATATTTTTTTATGTCTTAAAACAAGTTAAAAAGAATCTGTTGGTTTTGCCGACAGATGTATACCCTCAGCCAATGCAGTAGGTTCTGAAGGAATGGGCCAATATTGGCCATATGAAATAAATATTGCGACGTGCTAGGTTTGGTTTATATCGACTACTTCTTTCACTTTACGTGATACATGTGATAATTTTTAGAAAATGTTAAAATGTGCGTGAGGTACCAGATATAGTCAATTGAAGTATTCAATTTTCATGCTTCATCAAATACATATTAAAATATTGGTATGGGCAATGTTACAAGAAAATCGAACATTTATATTCAATTTATGGAAAATCATAAATTCCATATTCATCTCAGGTTGCTGGCAAAGAGAGATATATTTAGATATAGCAAGTTGAAAAGAATCGCTGACTTGTTTCGAAAGTTAGGACAGATAAAAGTATGGAAAATTGTGTCCCTTTGTGAGTGAGGTCTCAGAAAGGTTCACAGATATATAATATCTGCACAAAAGATATTGTATTAGCAAAAATTTTTGCACGTGTAAAATATGAAGAGTGTTGATTGCTTATTTCGCTTTCTTTGATCGTTGTGTTTTTCAAAATTTTGAACCCTATGTGGGGCAGGTAGCAAAAAAAAATGGTCCGATCTCTACCATCTTTGGATATTCAAAATTTTGAGCCTTTCTGGGGGAGATACCAGAAGAAGTGGACCGATATATCCCATCTTCACACGGATATTTTTTTAGTGGAAATAATGGGATGTGTGAAATATAAAGAGTACCTGATGCTTATTCCGGATTTTATAAATGTTTTGGTCATTCACAACCGATATTTTCCATCGTAACACCAGACCTTGGGTTAATATAAATATTATGTGTGAAATTTGAAGACAATCGGACTCATACATCACATTTTATGAGAGTTGTAATTATTCAAAATTTGTGAGGGAGGTACTTGATGGAGTGGACCGATATTGTCCATTTTCACACCTGACCTAGCACTGACGCAAATATAAGGATTTGCAAAGTTGGAGCAAAATCGGATTATCCTTTCTCTTTCTGTGCAAAAAAATTTTTATTTTTTGAAAATTTCGACATTTTGTGGGGGAGATACCAGAAGGAGTAGACCCATATTGCCCATCCCCGAACTCAATCTAAGTTTAACAAAAATTTACGATGTATCTAGTTTGGACCAAATCGGATACTTCCTTCGAGAGTTATCGTGCACACCAGCCAGTCAGACAGACGGACGGACGGACATCGCTAGATCGACTCCAAATGTTCTGAAACGGATTTGGTCCAAAGAGTCCTAGGGTCTAAAACCGTTATTTCGACTAGGCGAATTATGTAGCTTAAATCATCAAAATACCGAATATCGAGAGGCACCGATATTTAGGGGCTATATGAAGACCTGGACCTGTCATACACTGTAGTACCTATTAGGAAATTCAAACACGAAATATGAAACAATTCCTGTGAATAATGTCGCTAAAATCATCAAATACCGAATATAGGGAGATACCGTTATATGGGGCCTATACCAAGACGTGGATATGCATAGCCACTCTGGTGGGGTTCCGGCGCACCCAGTCGTGGCATTTCGTTCAGGGGGGATTCTCAAACCCTTACCACCAGCAGTGCTAGGCGCTCAACCACTTGGAATAGTTTCCACGGTATTAGTAGTTCAGTTTGTGTGATCGTAAATGTTTATTTGTTTATAGTTTATGTAGCGATGACAATGTCTCAAATAAATGTTTGTTTTAAGTTTGAACCTTGATATGATCTGAATTTCTGCTTGTGAGAGAGGATACTAGGGTGTAGGTTTCGCGTGTATTTTCGGACCAAAGGGTCAAGGTTGGGCGGGCAACAGATATCATCTAGTTCCCTTGTCATGGTCGCGTGGTGTGTTGTTGTTTTGTTCTTTGTTATGACCAACCCCTCTCTAGTTGTTTAGCCCCTATGACTGCTGGTGTTAAGGGTTGAGAATCCCCCTGAACGAAATGCCATGACTGAGTGTGCCGTAACCCCACCAGAGTGCCGTTATAGGTGGCACATAACAATATGGCGCCAAATATTCAAAATACAATACCTATCCCCACTAAATTAAAATGGCGAGGACATGCATAACTCTGTGCAATAACACCTAAGTGCAGACCAATAGACAGTAGGTTGTAATAGATATAATCTGAATATCGCCTATCCTTATGGCTAGCGTATATTGTAGCTCCTTTTTAGAAAATAATCTGTGATAAATGTGCAATATGTAGGTTAGAAAATTAGGATAGTAGGGTATGTCGTAAATTGTAACAAAGATTGTATTGTTTTCATGAAATGCGTTTATGTTTATTTTTTGTATCAGTGTTTTCGTTTTGTTTTTAAATCATAAACTAGAGTCAGATTCTGTCTAAACTCTTTTTACTATTAAGCTAAACAATCACCACTATTCATTTTTTCCAATTTCGTCATCACCAAATATAAGTAAACTTTAAATTTGATATTAAATTCTCATGAGTTCAAAAGCCATAACAAGAAAAAGTAAAAGCAAGAGAGACCGCTCATTACTTTTTGATCTGAGCAGAGATTCTATTTCATCACCTCTCCCTAAACAAAAGAAAACTCAGGGAGATTCCAAAATGCCTCAACCTAAGGGTAATACTGACCCATCAATTAGGAATTTATCTAATATCATTATCAATAACAATCCTGTCTCTAGTGAAACAACTAGATTGCCACAAAATAATTAACCTCAAACAAATTCACCAAAACACCCAGTTGAAGTTGACAATTTGGTAAGAGGTCTGGTACAAGAAGCTTAAAACACGCACAGACTAATCTGCAATATTTAGTACAAGACACTGTAGCCAAAGAGCTGGGAAAGTTGTACGGTGTTATAGGCAAACTAAATGAGGCCGTCTCAAAATTATCTATTGAGTTGTGGAAAGACCATCCATCAAATCCCATAAATAATTTGCTGCCTACAGATAACGCCATGACCAACAATATACCTCAACATATGACCACCAACAATTCTGTTCCTCCATACAACCCAATAACCCTATAGTACCAAACAATGCTATTCTTGACCATAGCCCTATGTCCACCTATAGACTCAAGCTCGACAATAACCCCATGAACAGCAATTACCCGAACAATTCAGATAACCCTACGTATCAGTCCAAGCCCCAAAATGGGAAAATAACATAAAAATGAATACTAGAAATACATACCATCGAGTAGCGATGGTGTCAAAGTGGAAGATTTTGTTAATCGGCTAGAATATTTCCAAAGGCACAATATGTTGGCATGGTCTGACATCTTAAATAAATTTTATATATTATTATGGGGACCATGGTATAAATGGTTCTGGTTACAACAAACAAAACACGGTTTGTTAGAAAAATTTAAAAGGCGACGCACCTGTTTCGAAGATATGAGAGATTTATTGGAACGTAAACAGCAACCCGGGGAATCAATCGATGCTTTCTTTCACAACATCAGTTTAATGAGGTCAACGTTGGAAAGCCCGTGATAGAATTCCGCAAACAGAGCATATAAAATAAACGCGATACAGTAAGAAGTGGAAGATGGCGATGGTAAATTATTCGAGGTAAGTGATGAAATTCTTGATTTATTCGCTATAAGTACATCTATACTATGTTGGAACTGTCGAACACCTGCGCTCGTATTTCGGGTCTGTACTGCGTTCCAAAGAACTATATTTTGCTTTAAATGTGGGAAACCAAACGCCATTACTCCGAAATGTAGTGAATGTAGAACGGGAAACGGGAGGGCGAACATGTTTGCAGCGGAAAACCATCGTTCCTCCAAGCAACCCGCCACCCACCAAAATAAAACAGGCCAATAAAAATGAAAAGAATTTTCATAGAATCCGCCACTATTTACCCTTAATCATCAGGAAAGAAAATTATATTAAAATAAAGCTAGCATTTTTGGTGAAAAGGTCATAGACGCCAAAGCGATTCTCAAAGTATGCTGAAATTCTAAAGAAAAGCACAAAAAACAAGTAAGCAAAGGCTATAGTCGTGCGGGGCCGACCATGTGATACCCTACAACACTACAATATGTTAGAAGCTCCCTTATGTCAAAATCCATTTTGGAAGATTTCGTTTTTGAAATTATGTCACGGAACACGAACCAGATATTACCCTTAGCTTTTTTGCCCAATATTTACGCACTCCGTCGTGTTGTTAGTTGTTGTGGTCCATTTTACAGCCAAATATAATCCAATGGTCATCCAAAATGCTAGACTTCT